CTTTTTTCCCAGGATGATGAGGAACCATTAGTGAGCACACTTTGGAGTCAGCCAGTCAACCAGCTACAAATCCGCCTAACAAGTTATCTCATCCAATCCACATTTTATCAGCTTCTGCGCAAGAATATTATGGGGGACTTTGCCAAAAGCCTTACTGAAATCAAGATAGACTACATCCAAAGCATTCCCCTGATCCACTAAGCTTGTAACTCTATAAAAAAAAAAGAAATGAGATTTCATCTGGCATGACTTATTTTTGTGAAACCCATGCTGTGTCCTAGTAATCACAGCATCCTTTTCTAACTGCTCACAGACCAACTGTTTAATTATCTGGCAATTAAACAGTTCTGGCATCCTTCCTCAGATAATGGAAATCTTAAGCCAAAAACGAAGCAGCATAACAACAGAAAAATCAATTTTAACACATTGTTTGCTTAGCTCGTTTTGAAACATAACATATGAGAAGGCAGATTTCATAAATCTTGATCAACATAGTGACTCACAATATTGTATTAAGAATCTATTTTAAATTGCTTCACTCATTTCTGTCCAACTATGTGCAAATATGATGTGTGGACAGACCCCTGTACAAAGGAATGCAGAATGCAAAGGGAGATGAGGGAAATGTAGGCAGGGGTACACAGGGGAAGGATATGTATTGATTTCAGGTGCAAGAACAGTGGGGTCTCATTACTTAGTGTTTGTGCCAAAGCCTTGATGGGAAAGTGAATTTTGATGTTGGTTTAAAGGAAGAGAGGTGCAATGAGGAGGATGATAAGAGTTCATTGTCAAGAGTAATATTGTCTCAAATACTTTATGTATCTAATGATTAGATACCTGAGCAAAATAATATAGTCCAAAAAAGGATAGATATAGATGATAGATAGATAGATAGATAGATGATAGATAGATAGATAGATAGATAGATGATAGATAGATAGATAGATGATAGATAGATAGATAGATAGATAGATAGATAGATAGATGATAGATAGATAGATGATAGATAGATAGATAGATGATAGATATAACTATATAAAGGTACACACCCACCCATTGTGTTACATGTTAATATGGATGCCATATGGACAAGGTATTCTTGGGGTATGTGGTTGGGATAAAAAACCAATTTATAAGCAGGGAAAAGAAAATCTTAGAAGTTGCCAGTTGCCGGCAGGAGCTGTCAGAATTCATTAGGCGTCCCCACCGGTTTTCTATTGGCTTTGTTATTTGGTTTCCGATATTTATCTTCAGCTGTGTACTCACACAGCAGGGATCGGGTGTGTGCGCGTGTGGTAGAAGATTTCCCCGGCAGCCTGCAGGCAAACTGCAGCAAAATCAAAATGAACCAATGTTCCTCTTCTTATGTGCTTCTCAACCAGCCAAAGTCAGCTGTCAGTTCTCAGCTGAGTCTCATTCAGCTATGCTCTCTACACCCATTTCCAGGTACATCAGGTTTGATGAGTTTTCCAGGGTGTCCAAAGGATGGGGAAAGGCCCCCACCCATCATTCACAGCTCTTTCTTCATCCTCTCCTCCTGCCCCAGCTGTTTTATAAATGTTCTGCTTCTTAGCTTTCACAACATGTGCATCTTTGTACTGGATGTATTCACTAGAAGATTCATCAAGGGCAATGTCCCTCTCATCCTTTTGCACTGGCTAAGAGACATGTGGGAATGTTCAGGGAGGCAGGAGAGGATATATTGTATATTAGTATCCTTCTACCTTGCACTAGTAAGTTCCTTGACGTAGCAGAGTTTCACATTCCCCTTTTAAATGCACAGTGAGTAGCTCGTTGCAGGCTTGTGTAAGCCTCTCACTATTAGGTTCCTAGTAAGTTCCCTTATATCCCTCTTAAAGAATAAACACAGCACAATCTTGTGTAAAGTATATAAAAGTAGTTTACTCACATTCAGTTCACAGGTGGATCTCTGAAGGCAGACTTATTTACAAGTATATACATGTTGAGCTGTCCCATATGGGGATAATCCCAGTGTTCTCCATTGGCTGGAAGCCAACAGAGCATCTCTAGTGAAAAGCTGCTCCAATGACCGAGGAAGTCAGAGAGAGAGAGAGAGTTCTGTGTGCCTTGTCACTTTTGTTACCTGGACAGGTAAGCTCATGCCCACCTCTAGTCACATGCAAAGGAAGTATGCCCCAGCCAGGAGGAAACAGGAAGTTTTTGATTGGCTGGACCAAACATTCCCCCACATGTCCACTCTAGGAAAACAAGGAAAGTTGTACTTGACTGCCACTTACATATCACATGCCACAAGCCAGAGGCTGGTTTCTACCTCTGGCCAGGCAGCTTCCTAACCAAGTACCTAGAGGAATGGAGAGGCAACGCAAACTCACCCACTTCCTTCAAGCATTAGCACGTTAGTCCTTCCCTCTCCAGCTGCTGGTGAGTGAAGATTCCTGCCCAAGACCTTGGGGAGCTCTTGTCAGTCAGAGGAGATAATATTCAGTGCTGTATGATCCCATCTCACTTCCTAAGATTAGCAGCTTCCAGGATACCTTCAAAGGTAGCGCCATGTAAAGTGCATTGCAGTCCAACTGTAAGGTTAAAGGTAAAGGTAAAGGGACCCCTGACCATTTGGTCCAGTCGTGGCCGACTCTGGGGTTGCGGCGCTCATCTCGCTTTATTGGCCAAGGGAGCCGGCGTACAGCTTCCGGGCCATGTGGCCAGCATGACTAAGCCGCTTCTGGTGAACCAAAGCAGCGCACGGAAATGTCGTTTACCTTCCCGCCGGAGCGGTACCTATTTATCTACTTGCACTTTGACATGCTTTCGAACTGCTAGGTTGGCCGGAGCAGGGACCGAGCAACGGGAGCTCACCCTGTCGTGGGGATTCGAACCGCCGACCTTCTGATCGGCAAGTCCTAGGCTCTGTGGTTTAACCCACAGCGCCACCCACGTCCCTTCTACTGTAAGGTTACTAGAGCATTAATTACCTGGGCCTCCGGTGAATGCACTGAATGAATAACCCCAAGCTGTGCATTTGTTCCTTTAGGGGAAGTGCAACCCCATCCACACCAGGCTGCCTCCCTGGATCTGAAAACCACCTCCCGACATTGCCTCTGTCTTGCTGGGATTCAGGGCTCATCCATACTTCTGCTTGCCCTGCCAGGAAAACCAATTGCTTACCTTTGAACATCAGTTTGGTTTTCTCCAGATTGACATTTGCTCCAATTTAGTACTAAACAGCTGGTTTTACCGCGGTAAGGGGCAGGGCAAAGGCTAAATTGCTTGGACCCATGCTTTCTAGTCATGGAACAAGTGATAGTATGGATGAGCCCTAAGTTTATTGGCCCTCACCCAGCTCATCACTGCCTCTGGACACTGGTCCAGCAACCTGTCCATGCAGTGGCCATCTTGATGCCTATGGGAAGCCCAAAAGGACCTGGGCATCTCTACTGACTTGTGGTCCATAGCAAACTGACATTCAGAGGCATTTGCCTCCACCAGTGCAAGTACAGCAGAGCCAGCATGGCAGGTAGCTATTGATAGCCTCATCCTCCACGAATTTGTAGGAATTTGAATGAAAATGGTACATAGCTTATCTGCAGGGAGGATCTGAATAAAACCACTTGTGGGGGGGACTTAATCTTTCTCAGACACAAACATACCATAATCAGCTTCTTTTTAAGCAGGGGTAGGGAATCATTGCCCCCTCCCCTAATTAGATCTGACATAAGTACTAGTTTGAGACCTTTCTCCTCAAACCACACCACCTGCCCCATATCTGATGTAGCTGCGGAGGAGCAACCAGAAACTTAAAGTGAGTTCCTTAGGGCAGTTGAAGGGGGCAGGGGCTTGTGTCAGCACCAAAACCAAGTCCTACCCACCTGTCAAAATGGCCCACAGAGGGTTAGGGATGTTGAGATCTGGCTGTCCAGGCAGAAAAGGTTCACCACCCCTGTTTCTAGCAAACAGAGCTGTCAGGTTTGTGTAATTTTTATTTTAGAGGTGCCTTATTCACTCATTTCCCCCTCCCTCCTGGTGCAAATTAATTATTGAACATAGCTGGCATGCTCTTTTCATCATGATGGAATCTGCAATGAAGGGGGGGGGGGGAGACACATTATTCAATTAATCCCAACCGTGCTTCTGCAGAGTAGGTAAAAGCTTCTATTATTATTGCATTATATTGCTTTGCAAAAAAAATCAAAGACATGAAGCAATCGTGGCATGGAGCAGGTAGAAACAGCCTCCCAGTTTTGTTAAACTAAGCTGTGACTCATGTGTACTTCCAGAAACGGCATGCAAAAGCAGATAAGCTCTCTGGCGAGACTGAATTTAGGAGCAGATAAATTAAAAGTAGCTAGATCTGGGGCTAAAGAAGGACCATCAAGGAGAAATATTCTCAGGTGCTATACCAATAAAGTTTATTCCTTCTTTCCCTTTATGAGGCACCATTTACTTGCACCACCCTAAGCAGCCTAAAGGAGAGTTAAAACAATTAGCACAATAAAATAATATTAAAAATAAAATAAGAACAAGTGGTATATTAAAAGTAGAAGGAGAGAACAGAAAACGTGCACACAGAGGTCAATAGCTTAAAAGACATGGCAGATTTGTTTTTAAAAAAATGTATTCTAGCTGAGTCAAAGAAATGGATCGAGTGGGTTCCTCTAGAAAGGAAGTTTGACAGAAGAGGAGCCACCACTGAGAAGACACTTCTCCTACTCAGAATCGTGGTGGCTGGGCCTTTACCTTCTTGTGAAGTAAATCACAAGTACTCGGGCTTAACTAGTGTGACCACTGAAATCAACTGTTGATTCCAGCTTCTGTGAACAATGTTGCTTGTGCTTGACTCTGATAAGCTGGATTCCTTAATATTTATTACGCTAAAGCTAAAAGATTGCTGGAAAGAGATTAGGGCCATTTAAGAAATGCATACTTTGACTGAAACAAAAGAAGAATCTTTGAAACACATTAACACTAGCAATGAACTTAATGATGTAATAGTTGTATTCTTGTCCTTTTCATTTTCCCAGTGCTGCATATGATGCTGTTCTCGACAGAAATGTGGCCATTAAGAAGCTCAGCAGGCCGTTTCAAAACCAGACACATGCGAAGCGAGCTTACAGGGAGCTAGTCCTCATGAAGTGTGTGAATCACAAAAATGTGAGTTTTTCTTTCGGTGGTGGGATTGAGAAGCATGAACATTTGACACTGCAAACCGAGAGAGAGAGAGAGAGTGTTATGCCCTGGTTAATTTAAAAACAAGATTATGTTTTGCTTGTCGTTCCAGGGAATTACTCCATTGATAGTTGTGCAGTGTCTGCATGAATTTGGGAGGTGTGGGTGTGATCAGAGCTGGATTATTCCCTTCCCAAAAGTAGGTGTCAGGGAAAGGGCAAAAGTTTATCTGCGCTCACTATTTGCTGGCAAAAGAGAGTTGAGTCTCTGAGCCTCGGATCAGCATATTTGATTATGCTGTCACTATGGAGATCTCCTCCTATTTAAATCCCATGAAAGTCCTGTGGAGAAGAGTGGAAAACCAATTCAGTTTCCATTCTCTTGTGCAGCAATAGATCAATTGTGTGCTTATTATCCTGTCCACAGCGACATAACTGGTATATGCTAATACTGGATAACATTTGTGCTTATGTGAATAGCATCAGGATTAAGGTCAAGGTCGGAACTCAGTGACGTGGGGTAAAGCAGTAGAGGAATGAACCTTGTGTTCTCTTTCAAGTGGATTTTTTTATTTTTATTTTTATCCTTTTCTTTCGTACACTTTTCTTTTTGCAGCCTCCTCACCAAATGGTGAAGCACAGATCCGACCATCTCTCTTCCCCCTCCCTCCACAAGACATTTTCCTACAAGATTGGTTCACGCAGCTATTCTCAGTGTAGCAAAGCATGAGGTGCTTTTAGTTGTGGCAGGGTAGAAATTAACATTAAAATAAAACACACGTTTCCCATTTAAATCCCAAATACAAAATTTAAAATTTAGGTTTTGAAAATGAACCTCAGTTCTGAATTCTTCAGGCTTCATCATTTTAGAAGCTGCCAAACAGGAAATGTCAGAAACTCCTCAGAGCGGGAATTGTAGCTCTGCGAGGGGACTAGAGGTCTGCTAAAAACTCTCAGCATCCTTCAAAGAACTGCAGTTCCCAGAATTCTTTAGGGGAAGCCATGACTGTTTAAAGTGGAATCACAGTGCTTTAAATATATGGTGTGAATGTGACCTGGGTCAGATGGAAGGATCAGAAGCAAGCATGTAGTCCAGTTCAGGGAGAAATCAAGAGCAAACAGAGATCAGAAGATTCAGAGGGTAGCAATGTGCTACCTTGTCTGAAGGGCCGTCAAAGATGCTCTCTCATCTTCCAGGCTCAGATGTTGCCAGTTTGTTCTTTCAATTAACGTTTTAATAATGTGCTTTCAAATTTATACATTTCAGACGCTTAAGTCCGCATTTCCCCCCTTCACTTGTAATTACCACAGAGTGCCTAAGAGGCTAACATTTACAGTGAATCAAATATATATGTCACAGCTGCAGATAATCTGGTTCACATTGGCAATAGTTATTTAAAATGGTGGTTTTCGACTTCCTTCCATGTATGCTCAGCTTCCCACTGGGAAGCCTGGGAAACAGATTCCCTAAGTACAGTCATACCTCGGGTTACAGACGCTTCAGGTTGCGTTTTTTCGAGTTATGCACCACCGAAACCTGGAAGTACCGGAATGGGTTACTTCCGGCTTTTGGCGGTTGTGCATGCGCAGAAGCGCTAAATCACACTTTGCGCATGCGCAGAAGCTCCGAATCGCAACGCGCGTGTGCACAGATGCGCAGACACGGGTTGCGAATGTGCATCCCGCAAGGATAACGTTTGCAACCTGAGCATCCACTGTAATGTGGTGAGGAACTGCAGGTCTGAGGGCCAAACGTGTCTCTCCTGGCCTCTCTGCCCAGGCCTCAGAACTGTGCTAAGCCCCATCATTGCTCTGCACTCTCCTCTCATGATTTTTGCCAGGCTGGAATGTGACCTTGAACTAGGATAATTCCACTTTCTCGCCAGGATGGAGAGTGTGAGGTGTGTCTGGCCACACCAACTTTTGCCACGCTCACTACTACGTGGCCCTCTGGCTGTAAAAAAATGGGTTCCACCTACTCCCTAACACTTATTGGCTTATTGAACTGAGCCAGGAGGCAGGGGGACATTGTAGCGCCAGGATCCTTGGCAGCAATGGATTATTCAGCAATCTTGAAAAGAGAAAGGAGCAAAGCTGGAAAGAATCGTGGAGTTGGAAGGCATCTACTCCAATCCCCCTTGCAATGTAGGAAGAGGGGTAGTGCTGCAGATGGGGAGATGAAGGAATGAAAGGAAGACTCGATTTTCTAGATAAAGTTAGGGCAAGAGAGCATAACACGAGAGGGATGGAACTCTTTGCAGCAGAAGTAGTGGACAGAGACATGTGTAAGCATATTTACAACATTTATTCAGCAGCAGGACAAAGGAAAAACATGTCTGCTTCCCTTTGTGTCCAAGCACAACAGCAGTATAGCAAAAGCAATATACAAATGGAAGTTCCCAGCAAGCTGTGCTGGAATGTAAACAGGCATGTGACACACAACAGTCATGCCTGTTCCTTTTAAGGTGGAACGGAACTATATCCTAACAGGTAGCTGTCCACCAATGAGATGGCAGAAGATAAAGCATTCATGAAATATATTGCAAAATAGACATCTTGTGGCACTTTTAAAAATGCCTATGGGAGCCAGTGTGGTGTAGTGGTTAAGAGCGGTAGTCTCGTAATCTGGGGAACCGGGTTCGCTTCCCCACTCCTCCACATGCAGCTGCTGGGTGACCTTGGGCCAGTCACACTTCTTTGAAGTCTCTCAGCCCCACTCACCTCACAGAGTGTTTGTTGTGGGGGAAGAAGGGAAAGGAGAATGTTAGCTGCTTTGAGACTCCTGAAGGGGAGTGAAAGGCGGGATATCAAATCCAAACTCCTCGTCTTCTTCTTCTTCTTCTTCTTCTTCTTCTTCTTCTTCTTCTTCTTCTTCTTCTTCTTCTTCCATGAGTTTACACTGGTGTGCGAGGCCAGTTCAGAGCAGTTTCCGCCAACCGTTCAATAGAGCAAAGCAAGAACGCAGACGGCTGTATTTGAACCATATCCTGTATTAATTCAAAGTTACTCCCAGCCTCTAGCACTGCCAATTATCAGCTTCATTTTGACAACTGCATCTCTAAAGGGCTGGTGTGTGCAGAATACATTTAGTTGGGCTGGGGTACATCCTTCAGCCTTGCAGTAGGCACTAACTAAAGGGAGGGACAATAGCAGCTTTTAAGTGCAACCTATACAACTGCCAATAGTGGCAGCAGTAGCAGAAATTATTAGTAGCAGTGGATCACAGTAACATCCTGCACCCCTAAAAAAGCAAAAACAAAGAAACCATTTGCTTTTAATATGTAAGTTGTTGTTTCTCTGAAGCCTCAACACCTGTCTCTCCTTCCCTGGCAAGCATCATTAATATACCACTGACGCCTCGTGGCTTAGCAAATTCTACATGTTTCTTTCCAGCGGGGCTGAATATTCAGCTGTGAACTCCCAGTTTAAAGGGAGAATTTGCTTTGCTTTTGTTTTAATCAAACACAGGCAATCACAGTCTTCTCAAAACAATGTCTTTCTTTGCAACATATGCCTTCGTGATCTTCTGCTTGTGGGACTTGCAGCAAGATGGATTGGTGTAAACTGAACAGTTTTAAAGAGCAATTTCAGTAGAGCAATCTGTCATAATCTGATCAACTGCTAATGTTTCATGATCGTTCTTTCCCGCTCTCTCCTTCTTTCCCTCCCTGCTTTTCAGATTATCAGTTTATTAAATGTCTTCACACCACAGAAATCTCTGGAGGAGTTCCAGGATGTGTAAGTAACGTGGACAAAAGTAAAACCTAAATCTTTGCCGTTTGCGGGAGGGGGAGAGGATTGAGGGAGAAGTGGGCATTGTACTCTCTAGTGAACAATCTGCTCTCCTCTATATCAGAGGGCGATGTTGCGCAGGGGCAGCCGAGCCTCATAGTCTTCCGGCGTGGGGGTGGGGAGAGGTATGCTACGTCCCCCATGTCATTGCCGGCTGCATCAGCGGTGTTGCGAGGCAGCCCCAGCCTATCAGCCGGCAAAGCAGGTATGGCCGCGGTCCATTTAAACTCGGCGTGGCCAGCTGGCTCCCTCTTCCTTGCCTCTTTGGCATTGGGAAAGCCTTCGTTTGGGATGCGGGTGGTGCTGTGGGTTAAACCACAGAGCCTAGGGCTTGCCGATCAGAAGGTCAGCAATTCGAATCCCCGCAACGGGGTGAGCTCCGTTGCTCGGTCCCTGCACCTGCCAACCTAGCAGTTTGAAAGCATGTCAAAGTGCATGTAGATAAATAGGTACCACTCCGGCGGGAAGGTAAACGGTGTTTCCGTGTGCTGCTCTGGTTCGCCAGAAGCAGCTTAGTCATTCTGGCCACATGACCGGAAGCTGTACGCCGGCTCCCTCCACCAATAAAGTGAGATGAGCGCCGCAACCCCATAGTCGGCCACAACTGGACCTAATGGTCAGGGGTCCCTTTACCTTTAAGCCTTCATTTGGCTGGAGTGGAGATTGTTGCCTCGCCTGCCCTCCTTGGTAAGGGTATCCTGTTGTAGGCATCCGGGGTGTGAATACTGTCCAAAGCCTGGGCATCACAGCCCCTACGAAGACCCCTCGGGGTGCCACTATCTGATGTAAATTGTAGGGCACCCCCGTCAGTGGTTTACCCTTCCATGGACTCCCTGCCAGGAGTCAACATATAGCCTGGCTTTACCCCAATGCCTAAGCCAAACCGCTCACATCTGTAACCAATAAAGTTGTGGCCTACTTTGAACGCATAAACCAAATATTCCCTGTCAGTGTGATTTATTGTTCTCCTGAGAACTTTGTGGCTCAGGGTGCCTTGGGGGTGCAACTAAAACTCAGGAATGGAAAGTGCTCCTTCTCCTCAGAAATTGCCTCATGTCCAGCACTCCATAAGGCAGTGACCTGATGGAACCAACCTTTTCCCCCATTTCTTTGTGTCATTCCTGTATTTTGTACCTACAAGGGTAGCAGGGGAGAAAAGAAGAAGCGAATGACCAGCAATTATGTGTGCTGGCTTTATATTATGGAAATAATAAAATGAAACAATGTGTTTTGAAAAAAGGTGCAAATGATTTTAAAAAAAGAATCGGAAAAAGTCAAGATCGGAAAACTCACGACTATCTGCCTACTGCTTTTAGGTATGTCAGAAAGCACTTCCCACCTCAATTTAGAAGTGCAGAAATGGAAAGTGTACGCAGAGCATCGTAACGGAGGTGCTTGAGAAAATGCAGGATGTGGGGTTGTGGTCGTGAGGAGGGTCTGAACATGTTCAGACATGCAAAGGAATCTGAATGGCTCTAAGCAGCTCCCTTTGATTCCTTTGTGTTGATAGCTTTCTCAGGCAGCGCCTGTTACCTCAGAACTCCCTGAGGTGTGCAGGCTTCTGAAAGGTGCGTAAAACACTGAAATAATCTCCTTGTGTTATTTTTGTGGGTTTTTTTTTTTAAGGTAAGGAAGGAGGCGAAACATTTCCTCCCTCTTCCATATTTATTTTCCGATAACCTATGACTCTGTAAAAATTATTTGCCTGGGGGCAAAGCAGAGAATTGCTAGTATTTCCACTGAGCATTGTCCACCGTTGCTTGGCATGTAAGGAGAACCTGACCTGAATAATATTTAAGGTAATCAGAAGTGTTTCTAGTTGGCCAAACTCTCCTCATTCTGCCCCCCCTTTAACAATTTCCTTCACTATACACTATACAGAGATTGTGTCCTATAACGCAAGGGCAAAATCTTGGCAGGGGAACCAACTGTCCTCGTCACACTGTGATATGTCAGTGTTTTTAAAACTCTCTTCTGCGATGCCCTTGGCAATTGCAGAAGCCCCTGGGAAAACCAAATCTCCCATAATCCCTTGTGCCTTGGCACACAGTTACTCAGTGTGGTGAGGCAATGGAGGGCAGGGATGGAGAAGAAAACTCTCACTATGCTCCTTCTACTCTTCTTTCCACCATACAGTTCCCTGTGAGGAAAGAGGAGTTGTTTGGGGCATGGCAGGGGATGGATTTGGGGGATGAGGGAGAGCAGCAGAAATGGGTGAGCAATTCCTCAAAGTCTTTCAAATTGGCTAAGAAAAATTACAATGGGATATTTGATGGGGGGGGAGCATTTTGAGTAATTTCCAAGCTAATGTGAGGCAAATTTCAGAGGTTTCCCCATAGCTAGTAGCAGCTACCACTGGGATGCAAATGAAAGGTCCAGCAAAGTTTAGAATTTAGAATTCCCTAGCCAATCCCATTCCAGGATTTCCAGTGTTGGCATAACAAGCCAGCACTGTTTTTATTTCATTTTGTTGTATCTGCATAATAATTATCGATCAACTCCCCCTCTGCAATTATTTATTGAAGGTTTCTTGACTGTCTGCAGTGCAATCAGTGCGATATGCAGTCCCGCTCTGCAAGGCTGGCAATTTACAACAGGCAGGCAAGATGGAGGATGGGTCAGACACTCCTAATATGGAGCTGAGGATAAGCAAATAAAAGACATAGTGAAAGAGGAGCGGCTAAGCTGGAGCTAGGGTGGTCCAGGAAAAGCCTTTGTTTCGGGTGTAGACAAAGCTCAGTGGCAGAACACACACCCCGCGATCTCTGGCATCTGCAATCAAAAGGATTGCCGGTAGCCGAACCCATGAAGGTCAGAGAAGACTGTACTGAATTCTGGTCTGACACACTGCATGGTGACCTCCTTAGAACAGAAGAGGAACCAATGGCACATATATTCCAGCTTCCTGTTCATACAGGGGCGAACCAGAAGCAGGACCTTAGCTCAAGGGCACTCTCCCCACCTGCGGTTTCTAGAAACTGGTCTTCAGAAGCATAGCTGCCCCCAAATATGAAGGCAGGCAGCACGCCATCACACAAAGTGGTCTTCAGGAGGGGCAGGAGAAAGAGAGGCCTGCTGACAAGAGTGTGCAAGGCTGCGGTCTACATGCAGAATGCATGCCCCTTACCACATTAGTTACTGAAGAATGAAATGATGCTGGTGAGAGAGAAAAAGGATGCTTACATTAAATATGTCATTCAGTGACATCTCACCCACTCCCTACTCTCAGCTGCATCACAATTCTACGATTTTTTTTTGGGGGGGGTCCAGCAAAATGAATTCTGACGGACACATCAGATACAAGAGCATTGCTGTATCTCAGGCATGGGCAAACTCGGCCCTCTAGATGTTTTGAGACTACAGTTCGCATTATCCCTGACCACTGGTCCTGTTATTGAAATTGAAATACTTTATTGTCACTTGTACAGCTTGTATACAGCGAGATTACATGAGCACCCCCCCACTCAGCTCTCTTACTCTTAATTCCCCTCGTTTACTGTCGCACGCCCACCAAACCCGAAAGTCAGTTGCCCTGTTGTTATCTTTGCATTCAGCAGCCTAACAGCCCACGGATAGAAGCTGTTCTTTACCCTGTTGGTGCGACTAATCATGCTTCTGTATCTTCTGCCTGAGGGCAGGAGATCAAGAAAGTGCCGGCCAGGGTGTGAATGATTCCTGAGAATTTTCCTCACTCTCCTGAGGCAACATTCTTCCACTATTTCATCCAGCGGATTCACGGGACAGCCCATAATATCTTGTGCTGTATTCACCACCCTCTGTAGGACTTCTTATCAGTTGATGTCAAACCAGCGTACCACACCATGATGCAGTATGAAAGGACACTTTCTATTGTGGACCGGTAGAAGGAGATCATCAAATGTTGATTGACATCGTTCTTTCGCAATACTCTGAGGAGATGGAGTCTCTATTGGGCTTTCTTAACCACCTAGGTTGTATTGATTTTCCAAGTAAGGTCTTCACTGAGATAAACTCCTAGGGATTTAAAGGAAGAGACTCTCTCCACACAGCCCTCCCCGATGTACAGGGATGATGTAGCTAGGGATGATGGGTGTTGTAGTCCCAAAACATCTGGAGGGACGAGTTTGCTTATGCCTGCTGTTATCTGATCCATGATGAGTGCTGATTATTACGTGGCTCTGTTCTTCTCTTTAGGTATTTAGTAATGGAGCTGATGGATGCCAACTTGTGCCAGGTGATTCAGATGGAGCTGGACCACGAGCGAATGTCTTACCTGCTCTACCAAATGCTTTGCGGCATCAAGCACCTTCACTCTGCAGGAATCATTCACAGGGTAAGCCAGGTGTCCATCTCACCACCACCACACAAAAAAAGGACAAATGTCCTTCTACGGGAAAGAAAGAAAAATCTCTGTTATTTGGAGCATGCCCAGTTTTAGCTTCTGTTATACTATTATACCCATACCTAGGGACCTTGGGAGCAGTGCTGTTTTTATAGCAAACACCACCTCCCTTGTCTCTTTGGGTGACCAGCCTCTGAAGACAGCTCTGTTTAGGGAAGCTTTTAATCTCTGAAGGACTATTGTATTTTAATATTTTGTTGGAAGCCACCCAGAGTGGCTGGGGAAACCCAGCCAGATGGGCGGGTTATAAATAATAAATTATTATTATTATTATTATTATTAGTAGTAGTAGTAGTAGTAGTAGAAGACACAGGTGGCGCTGTGGGTTAAACCACAGAGCCTAGGGCTTGCCGATCAGAAGGTCGGCGGTTCGAATCCCCGCATCGGGGTGAGCTCCCGTTGCTCAGTCCCTGCTCCTGCCAACCTAGCAGTTCGAAAGCACGTCAAAGTGCAAGTAAATAAATAGGTACTGCTCTGGCGGGAAGGTAAATGGCGTTTCCGTGCACTGCTCTCGTTCGCCAGAAGCGGCTTAGTCCTGCTGGCCACATGACCCGGAAGCTGTACGCCGGCTCCCTCGGTCAGTAAAGTGAGATGAGCGCCGCAACCCCAGAGTCGACCACGACTGGACCTAATGGTCAGGGGTCCCTTTACCTTTAGTAGTAGTAGATCATCATCATCATCATCACATACTGCACCCCTTTGCCCCCTCTTGGATCATTCATCTCTCTCAGCCCTGCAGCACCGCCAAAGTAGATATAATTATTTAACAAATCGCCTTCCACGTGCGTCTTAAGGCAATGCACAGAACGCAATAAAAACACCTGAAAACAATACCGAGTACGCAGCAGCCATGTCAGAGACCAATTCATCCAGGCTTTTGGAACAAAAAAATGTCCTCGGTTGTTTCTGTAAAGTGCAGATAGTGCGTGCCTGTTTTATCTTCACGGAAATACTGTTCCACAGAAGAGGGACAGCCGCGCCATTGTGGCATTTGTGATATAAAGCACCTACTGAGTCTTGTAGGTAGAACTCATCATTCCTGTTCTCCCCCCGCTCCCTCATCTCTTTCAGGATTTAAAACCAAGTAATATTGTGGTAAAATCTGACTGCACATTGAAGATCCTGGATTTTGGACTGGCCAGGACCGCAGGCACTAGCTTCATGATGACTCCTTATGTGGTCACACGTTATTACAGAGCACCGGAGGTCATCTTGGGAATGGGCTACAAGGAGAATGGTAGGATATACATGTGATGTGAGCATATGGGATGGAGCAAAGCTGGGAGTGCCAGCTGGATGGGAAGGAATGACCTGGGCGGCTCAAGTACCTTTAAGCAAACCTTATTGCACAGATATCACCTGGTGAAGCTTTTCACCAGCATGAAACGAACAACACGATCACCTACTACAATGGCTGGTTGAAACACTGACAATCCTAGGGATGTCCGCCTGATTATTATAGGCACTAAAGCAACATAGAGGATGATGCAGATATTACTGAAGTTAAGAAACACCCAAATTGGATACGACGCAGTATCTCATTGCATCCAGTTTGTATCATTGGAGGCATGTTGATAAGGAGGGAATTTAAACAGACCTTTTCATCACCACGCTGGGAATTAAAATATTAAAATGCTCTTTGGGTGGGCGATGGGTGTGACCCAAATATTTCCAGCTTTCCTCAGTTCCAAATATGGTCCCTGTTAATAAATTGTTTCCCTAGAAACGCACATCCTTTCAAAACAAAGGAACTCAGACCTGTATTCGTTTCAGTGCAATTTTGGTGCATAAAACCATGGGTTGCCATAAAACTAATAAAAACGGGTGAACAACATCCAGCCCTGTGGCTGAGAAATCGTATTATAAAATCAAAACACAGAGAAACAGTAACAAAATTATGATTGCAACAACCAACAAAACTTAAATCAAATTATCTCCAGCCTAGGAGTATTAGATTGCATGTATTCGCATCATTTTATTTGCTGCCCACGGCACTGCAAATAGGGAGGTTCTCTAAGTGGTATAGTTATTCTGGTTGCATAGGAGAAAACATTGGTATCACAAAATCAACAAGGCAAGCAGACAAGAATCTAGCTCTAGGCAGGGTTCTATAGCAAAAAGTAGGCAATGGCTTGGATCCCAATTTGTCCTCTGCCAATGTCAGGGCTCCTTCCATTCAAGGATCTAGTGGGGTCCAATGGAGTCTCCGGATTGAGGGCAAGGCACCTCTATTTTTTTCTCCATTTCTCTTTGCACCACTGGAAGGTCCCCAACCTGAAACAGCAGACTTTTGAGTGCCAAAGGCATCTTAGTTAAGATTTAAGCCAGTACTTAAATCTTAACTGTGCACATCAGCACTAATCCAAAGTAGTTTTGGGGAATTTATTTTCGAGGTAAGCTTGAGGGTAGGGGCTGATACCTCAACCACACGAAGGCAGTAGACAAACATTTTGTTTCTTTAAAATGTTTTATGCCACCTTTCGGGGGCAGGGGACACACTTGCCCAAGTATCCCATATCTGGGGCTTTAAGAAGCTTTGGAAACATACCTATTTTCAACATCTCAATTCACCTCTAGACAGGAATGCAAGGCTGCTTCAAATGTAACTCGGCATATCCAAGGGATGGATGACCTTGGCATTATTACTTTGGATAAAAAACATATGAAAATATTTATGTTCTGGAACAATCCCATAAACCTTATCTCTCAGGAATCCAGGGTCTAGCTCATAGAAGAAGCCTTTAAGGACTTGGGATGGCACAAAATTAACACCTCTATTGGTTGCTGCTATTTTTTCATTTTCACCTAGCTGAGGCTGCTACAGACTCTTCACCAAATAACAAGGGGAAACAGTTTTCATCAAAAGGCAATGAGCGTCACTGACAAGCTCGGTGATTATATGAGCCAGAGTTGTCTGCACCTGCCTTAGAGAGTCAGACCCTGTGCTTACTTTTTCCCTGGGGAGGAAGAGGTGGCCTGCCTGTGTGAAGGTGGCGCTGGCGGCAGCAGCCCCGCAACGGATCCTGCCAGGCTCCATGAGAGCTGGAGCAGCTGAGGTGCAGCTTTCCTGCATGTCAGCTGTTGGCTGGAAGGCCTAAGAGCCTCAGCAAGGTCCCGCTGCACCTCCAGCTCACATGCACCTCTCCGGAGCCCTAGAGCAGCCTTTCTCAACCTGTGGGTCCCCAGATGTTGCTGAACTGCAACTCCCATCACCCCTAGCTAGCAAGGCCAGAGCTCAGGGATGATGGGAGTTGTAGTCCAACAACATCTGGGGACCCACAGGTTGAGAACCGCTGCCCTAGAGGATATCCCCTTTAGGCTCTGGGGAGGGTCTCCTCGTGAGCCAGAGATGTAGAGGGGCTTTGCTGAGGCTGGTCAGGTCTCTTCCCCCTACTTCTTCCGGGGCCCAGCTGAGAGGTGCCGTAAGTTCCAACTGAAGAAGAAGAAGCCCTGATTATGATGATATTATTTACCACAAATCCTAGTTGTGGGTCCTGAAAACACAATCTCAAGTTTCCAAGGGAGGTTACAGCACTATTGCAGTGCTGTAATCTAAATGTGGGGCACTCTTTTTATTTTATTTTGTTTACTGAATTTATATACCACCCTGTTCCCAGGGGTCTGAGGGTGATTCACAGAATAAAATCAAGATATAAAACCACAAAATACATAATAGAAATAAAAACAATAACCCAACAGCCCCCCCCCCCATAGCAAAGGAATAATTCTGATCAAATTGACCTTCTAGGAAAAGGGGGGGAATGTTATTTTGTTGTGCTCAATAATCTTGTCACATCAACCATCATTTATTTGTGTGCTTAAAAAAAAAAGCCCTATCGGTAGTACAGTATTAAATCCGTGCTTCATAAATATTAGGCGACCAATTTTGCAGAAGGATGAGCAAGTAACACCATGGAGATAAATCCATTCGTCTGTTTCTGCTGCCCAAGTAATCTTTCCCAAGTAATCTGAAAACAAAGGTTCCCTTTTGATGTTAAATGTAACAGGTAACTTCCAGATTGTTCCATTTTTAATTTGTGGAGTCTAATTAGCATACTGCAGCGCTTTAACTAACATTTGACTGCAATCTGCAAGCTGGCAATTAGATAGCTATTTCAGCCTGATTTCTTTGTTATTTAAATTTGGTAATGATTGGGCTGCATTTCCAGCACACCTTGTGTTTTTCAGTTTAGAAGCCAGAGCGGAAGGTGATTCTACTACTAGTTATCAGCTTAAAGTGAAGGTTTCCTCACTGTAGTAATAATGAAGGGGCAAATGCTTTTGAAACCTTCTTAATCAAGATTGCTATAGCAGCTTCCAGAAAAGCTAAGCTGAGCTTAGATGTTGCCTTTGATCCAGAGCTCTATTTGTCCTCAGGTGAGCTCAAGGTGCTCTGCATGAGTAGCCTTTGATAGGTGGAGTTAGATCAGGCTTCCTTAACCTCGGTCCTCCAGATGTTTTGAGACTTCAATTCCCAGCATCCCTGGCCACTGGTCCTGCTAGCTAGGGATCATGAGAGTTGTAGGCCAAAAACATCTGGAGGGCCGAGGTTGAGGAAGCCTGAGTTAGATCCCCGTGTCCATTTTTTCATTGAACTGACGGACTTGGCAGTTGCCTCAAGGAATCACACAATCAGGGCAGTTATGGTATTCTACCAATAATTCTAATTACCTGAGCATCTGCAAATGGCAGAATTGGTTATCGTAGAATGAGCAATCCAGTTATTGTAGCAGTTCTCAACCTGTGGATCCCCAGATGTTGTTGGACTACAACTCCCATCATCCCTGAGCTCTGGCCTTGCTAGCTAGGGATGATGGGAGTTGTAGTCCAACAACATCTGGGGACCCACAGGTTGTGAACCGCTGAGTTATTGCTTCATTGCAGTACATGCATTTACCTAGCAATAGAAGCCAAGCCGAGAGGGGGAAAGCTTTTGACTAGCACAGGGTTTTCCAATTGGGTCTCCAGTTGTTTTTGGATTACAAGTACCACTGGTCCTGCTAGCTAGGGTTGATGGGAGTTGTAGTCCAACAACAGCTGGAGTCTCAAGTTTGGGAAACACTGGACTAGTGCCTATTATGATTTGGCTGTTTGTTGTTGCTTAGTCGTTTAGTCGTGTTTGACTCTTCGTGACATCTAATTTTTGAATCTGCAGAAGTGCATGGTGCAGTTCAGTATCTGTAAAGAGAGAGCACTTAATTTTCAGCTTTCCTCTCTATTTGACTATTCAGCACAAATTCGATGAGGCAGATATTTTGGTACATTTGGATTTAATCTCTCTCCACCCATGCAATCTTGCCTGTTTAAGGCCAGTTCCATGCTTTCATTTTCTCTTGGCACCTGACTTTATGGATGCTATATTTCCCCACTGTTTTGATGCACTCGGTTCCCAAAGTCCCCAAATTGCCCTGTTGCCGCCCCCTTTAAAAGGGACTCCAGTGTTTCAGGCATGCTTTTGCTGCCCTGTGCACCCAGTACCACCCCTTCCCTTCCCCCACCCCAAAACGAAGCATTTCACCTCTGTCAAAAGAAATGACTCGACTGGTGTTCATTTTTGTTTCTGTTAAAAGGAGAGAGAAAAAGAAGGTGGGACAGAAAAAGTGAACACTGTTGGGCTATGTTCACACCATACATTTAACACACTATGATGCCACTTTTAACAGTCACGGCTTTCCCCAAAGAATTCTGGGAGTTGCGGTTTGTTAAGAGAGAGTCATTAGGGAACCCTTATTCCCCTCCAAGAGCTACAATTCTCAGAGTGGTTTAACAATCAATCCCTCTTCACTGAGAACTCTAGGAATTGTAGCTCTGGGAGAGGGGAGTCTCCTAGAGTCTCAGCACCCTTAACAAACTACAGCTCCCATAATTCTCTGGGGGAATCCATGGACATTTAAAGTGGTATCACTGCACTTTAAATGTATGGTGTAAGTGAGGCCTTGGATAGACCAACCGGTTATCGCCAGCTATAACTGCTGGGCCTCTGAATATTTGGTACTGGAGGGGTGTGGCTGCCCCATCCTCATGTTGGGACTCTGTGCTACTAAAGTTGCCAGACTGCAACCAGGTGCCCTCCAGATGTTGTTGGACTACAGCTCCCATCTGCCCCAGTGGTGAAGGCTGCTGTACAGACCTGTACACTGCCTGGCGGTTCCCTCATTGCGAGAAGTGAGGTTACAGGGAACCAGACAGAGGGCCTTCTCGGTAGTGGCGCCTGCCCTGTGGAACGCCCTACCTTCAGATGTGAAGGAAATAAGCAGCTATCTTCTCTTTAAAAGACATCTGAAGGCAGCCCTGTTTAGGGAAGTTTTTAATATTTAATTCTGTATTGTTTTTAACACTTGATTGGAAGCCGCCCAGAGTGGCTGGGGAGGCTCAGCCAGATGGGCAGGGTATGAATGAATGAATGAATGAATGAATGAATAATAATTACTAGTAAATCTGGCAACGTGGCCACTGCAGGTTTTCCTGCTCCTTCCACCTCTTTCGCCTGTGTTCCCCCTACTGCATATGCTGCTGTGCAGCTCACATTGAATCCTGCCCATTATAGACTTGGAGTTCAGCTATAGAGCTTCAAATAAAACGTTTTGTGTGTGTTTTAAGTGCAATGTGCAATGTGGATGTTGCTTCTGGGAGAAATCATGTATGGACATGCCCAAAGAGAACTTGCGAGCAAGGGAAGATGGGAGACAGTGCAACCGTCTGCCCTCAGAGCCGGTTTCCTTTTTCACTCACAATATGGCAGCCCTAATGTCCACGATCCAAAGCCTCCTGGGTGCATTTGGTATGACTTAGGCCAGGGACGGGGAGTTGTGGCTCTCTAGATGGTCCCAGGCAGTGTGGCCAATGGTCAGGCATGATAGGATTCTCAGTCCAGCAACACCTGGAGGGACGCAGGTTCCCCATCCCTGAACTAGATCTAACTTGGAATAATTAGGTGCCATCCTTTCCCTTCTCTCCAGATCTGCCTACTTTGTTCTAGAACCTGGCATTTTCTCCTGTGACAAGAGAAGCGAGAAGCAAACGCATGCAACTTTCCCCACTTGGTCTTGTCAGATGAGAGCAGCCCAGATTTAAAGTGCTGCTCTGGCCTATGACCACACAAATGGGCTAGCTTGCACAGGAGCAATTAAAAATGACAGGGAATACATGGCGCAATTTGTAGGGTGGAATCCTATGTATATCTACACAAGTGTAAGCCCTGTTGAGTTCCATGGGCCTTACCTTACTCCCTAGTAAATATGTATAGGGTTGCAGCCCTGAAGAGCATTATCCGGGGATCACCACACGTTTAAATTGGGACAATTTAAACAGAAAAAGGTCAGGATTTTTGCATATATATACATTTTGAAAAGGTGGAATAAAAGTGATAAAATTAATGTTTGCTGGGTATTAATGCTTCTTCTGTTTATGACATCTTTGTGTGTGTGTGTTTTAAAAAATTGTTCGGTGGAAGGTGCATAAATCTGTGCTTTCTCTGATCAATCTGCTCTTTTTACCCTCCTGTAGGAGCCAAAGTGTCTTAGTTAACTTTGCCTTCCCCCCTCCCTTTCTCTCTTCATTTCCTTGTCTCTGCTGTTCTAGTGGATATATGGTCAGTAGGATGCATTATGGGAGAAATGGTGCGCCACAAAATCCTCTTTCCAGGAAGGGATTGTATCCTTATGCCATTTGCTGCAACCTTCATCGAATTATTTCTCTTTCATCCCCCGCAGCCTCATCCTTGACTTTTTCCTATTAAGCAAGCAATATATGAGAGGAGGATACAAAGACAGAAGCGAAAAAAAGCTGAATCTTAGGGGTGTGTGTAATTATGATTGGAGTCACTTGGGAATCAGCAGCAAAACGAAACAAAACAAAACAAAAACCCGAACCACCAGCTATATGACAAATGCTATCAAGCAGCTCTTCATGCTTTTACCCTTATATTTGTTAACGCCTTTTGGGGGGTTATAGAAGAACCAGCCACTGATGACAGACTTGTAAGCTTTTCTTATTGATTGCATTTTAAAGAAAACGGCCCATTTGTTCCTTTAAACTTTGTTTTCCCCCCCCTTCCCTCTTTTGGCTGAATGTTTTGAAAATTGTAATTTTTTTGATGTTTGTGGTGACATCATAATCTTTTGCTTGCTAATGCATCGTTAGTCTGGGTCCACCATGATGCTGTATAGACTCCGGAGGTGAGTCGATACAACATTTTGTTCTGAATGTGTTGACTTACCCGTTTGTTGCCTAGAAGGGATCCGGCAGTCCTTCGGCGCTTCCTAGAAATGGAACTCCTAACCAGATTTCCAGAATGAACTTTCCTTTTTTGTGTGTGCATGAGGTCTGCACAACCCCCCCCCCCAAAAAAAATTCTGCTCACCCTACCCACACCCTTCTCTTGCCCTGTTCGTTTTGAGCTTCGGTGATATTCTTTTTGCCATCTCTTAAGGTGGTGAAAGTAATATTAGAAAATGAAAACAACTGCAATCTAAGAAAGAAAGAAAGAAGGAAAGAGAAAGAAAGAAAGAAAGAAAGAAAGAAAGAAAGAAAGAAGCTTTCTAGTTCATCTCTTGTAGGCAAGGAATAAAAACACATTTATATTAACAAAACACACATATTTACATCTTCTTTGCTGTAAAAGACTTCCACCAGCGTGCTAGGAGGAGGGTAAATTGGCTTGAGAAATCTTTTGACAGCTGGTGTGATAAGCATAAGGTCATGAGCACTGATTAATATTTGGCGCTTCTTGGTGATTAACATAGGGTCAGCCTTTCCAACAAGCTGTGGTCATTTCCTCTCAAACGTCGGGAATATAGGATGTTATGGAAAGATGGGAGGATTGTTTACACAGTTTGCGTATGGAAACCAGTTGAAGAGGTTAGCAGATGAACGACCCTACAGCCACACATCTGCAGAACCCAGCACATGCATAAAAAGGTATATGGAGGGCCACCTGCACTAGCACTTATGTGAGGGGAATTTATCAAAACTTTCACACATGATGATTAAAGTTGAGTTCTGTTGTGACCTATCTCAGTTGCTCAGCCAATGCGTGCATAGAGTTCAGAGGGCCTTCTCGGTAGTGGCACCCACCCTGTGGAATGCCCTCCCTTCAGATGTGAAGGAAATAAGCAGCTATCTTATCTTTAAAAGACAGCTGAAGGCAGCCCTGTTTAGGGAAGTTTTTAATATTTAATGCTGTATTGTTTTTAACACTCGATTGGGAGCCTCCCAGAGTGGCTGGGGAAAATCAGCCAGATGGGCAGGGTATAAATAATAAATTATTATTATTATTACTATATTCACTCTGCAGAATTCTGACCCCCATTCACTTCCATGGGAGGCGAAACTCCATACACAGATTCTTTTCTATGTGCAGGGCTTCTGCTTCTCACATTGAGGTGGGAGAGAGCCTGCCCATGTAGGAGTTTTTGGGAGCGTGTAATGAAGCACCTGTAAGGCTCTGGCTTCAACAAGCCAAGTTTCTGAGGAAGATAATGCAAATTTGGGTTACACTTGTCATATATCTCTCACTATGCAAAATGCATAAGAATGCCCCACACGCTGCAGAAAAATGTCCTGGAAAATCTGGCTACCACTGTATTCTTCTCAGCAAAGGTGGACCATGGCATTGCTCAATTGATACCATAATTCAATATTCTTTTGGTAGAACTGGAGATTTTGGTAGAACTGGAGATTTGTTTCTCAAGATGTCCCCAGTATAGGATAGTCTCTCATTGAAGGAAGCAGTGAGAGAGGTTTCACACATATGTTTTTGCCAACAAGGTCCTGGGTGTGCAATTCCACCCTATAAACACAAGCATCCTATTCATACATTTCAAAACAAAATGATTCCTCTTTATTTCCACATATGTGTCTATTCTCCATTTCTGTGGCATCCCCATATCAATGTAGCATGTGCTTCAGACCATTGCTCACTCAAGGCCAGTTTGCAGAGGAGGTTGCAGAGGCAGAAGAGAAAGGGAGCGTTCCGGCTAACACCCCAGAGCCTTACAGCCTTCTTCTACACCCATCCTCCTTGTAGATCACGCTGCATGACATAGGCTGCAATCCTATATTCACCTGGGAGTAAGCCCCACTGAACTCAGTGGACTTGCCTACTTGCACTTTGACATGCTTTCGAACTGCTAGGTTGGCAGGAGCAGGGACCGAGCAACAGGAGCTCACCCCGTCGCGGGGATTCGAGCCTTCAACCTTCTGAGCGGCAAGCCCTAGGCTCAGTGGTTTAACCCACAGTGCCACCCGCATCCCTATTCTCAACAATATCAAAGGCCAAAGGTAGTCTAAAGTGTAACTTTCTGGCCCCATGCGCAGAGGTGGGTGAAGGGCAAATCTTTGTCTTTTGGGGAGTGTAGAGGAGAGGTTGTGCAGGAAAGAATGGATCAAAGGCTGGAGTTAGGGAAAGAAATGTGGGGGGGACACCCCAAAATGGTGGGCATTGCTGAGGAAGGAAGAGTGTGAGGACTATTTTAATGAGATAGTTGAGTTTTGAAGCATCATTTAAAAAAAGAAAGAGAGTAAAATGTCCTTAAACATCACAAAATGTTGCACACCTGGAGTGATATCACTTGTTACCTGAGTCGTTTACAGGAGCTATCCACTACGAGCCTGCAAAACATGGGTAGCCATGCTCTGCATAGCATAGTGTCTTTTACAGCATTATTGTGGCTAATCTTTTATATACTGAGTGAAAGTAGAGGGGCTCATGACAAAGTGGTGGTCTGGAAGAGGGGGCCTGTCCACCTGCCTCCCAAACCATGACAATGTTGGCTCAAGTTCTGTGATGGATTAAATGCTACAAAATGGAATAAGTGGGTTTGATGGCAGGTTGTAGGTCAGGATGATGTTCCATTGGTCTGTTCTTTTCCATCTTGTGCCCATCAACCAGTATTAGTGTCCCTGGTCCTAGATGGGTATTCCTTTAATTTTTTGAATGGCTTTTGAAGGTTAGCAGCTGCCACCACATCCTGCGGTATTGAATCCCAGAAACTGAATACGCCCGTGAAGCAGTGCCTTTTTAGCTAGCCGGGAACCGACTTCCAGTCGGTTTTCACTGGATAATCTCTGGCTTCTAATGTTATGAGAGAGAACACATTTCTCCATACACTTTTGGCCACACCATACATCTGTTTAGAAACCCGCTCATGAAGTCAATGGGGTACCTTCCAGATGTCAGTTGATCTAAGCTCCTATCATACCAACTACTGACAGTGTTGTCTCAGGATGATGGAAGCTGTAGACCAACACAGTGTTGGCTACCTCTGCTTTATTGTATCTCCACTTAGTGATTTTTTTAACATATCCAATGGCTTCAGCTTTCCCACATACGAAATGCGTTGCAACCTTTCGATAATTTTGGTTGCTCTTTTCTGCACTGCTCCCACTTCAGTGGTACCCTTTTTTGAGATTGTACACAGCATTCCAGGTGTGGTTGCACTTTTAATGTGTTCAGAGGTCCACTGACAATGCAAGCAGGCGCAGATTTCTGCAAAGGCACCACAATGTTGGCTGTTTTGTTATCAGTTCTTTTTGTAATAATGCCTAGTATGGAGTTTGCTGTTTTTCCTGCCACTGCATACTCGAGATATCTGCACAACCCCAAGATCTCTTTCCTGGTTAGTCATCTTCAGGCCAGCAGTTCACCTCTTGATTAACTGGGAAGGGTATCACCTGCTCTACTTTCCCATTTCGAAAGCAGAGAGGCTGTTTTTTCCCCTCCTTCCCCAACCTACTGGGAATGTATGTTTGCAGTCTGAAGCCGGTGCTATCCTACATGCCATGCAAAACCATCCTGCAACCTTTATTTTGAATTTGGCTGTTCACGAATCCCAAAAGGTGTTATACTGCAGCAAATAAGTGGATTCCCCAGACAACTGAATCACATTTCTAAGCAATGCTATGTTAGAAGCCTTGGTCATTTAGCTGCTGGGATTTCAACTTATAAGGGGGAAACTGCAGCTCCTTTGCTACAGGCTAAAGGCAAGTTGATTTGCATATGTCTCCAGAAAATAAGATCTCTTTAGGATAGAAACCAATATGCTTATAAGATGCAGATGAGACCTATATTTTTAAATTAGTTATTTAATTATGGTCACAAAGCTATGGTGACAAACAGTAGCTAGCCTTAGGTCTTACACTGCTCACTGAACTTTCTTTCTTTCTTTCTTTCTTTCTTTCTTTCTTTCTTTCTTTCTTTCTTTCTTTCTTTCTGCATCACTCTCATGCACATAGGCAAGTATAGACATATTTAGCAATAAAGATTAACCGTTCTACCCCTAGCTACCTACTCCCCCTCTCTCTGTTCTGCCCAACTCCTTCCCCCAACTGGAAAGTTTAATGTAAGCCATCTTTTGTACTCAAAGAAGTGATTGCCCAAAGGACATTCCATTTCTAAAAAGCAAAAAAAAATGAGACCTTGGCACTCAGAAGGACATTTGCTTGGGAAAAGAAATATCCCCCTCCTTCCTTTCTCACTGCTGAGATGTGGATAGAAATCAGGCCTTGATGGGGGGCAGGAAGGATGGGGAAAAGGCTGAATTGTCCACACATTTGTATCTACCAGATGCAACTAATCACTCCGTGGGGATATGCATGGAAATGCTCCTTGAAAGGTTGTTCCATCAGTATGCTGCTTATTTGCAGGCATAAAC